TTAAACTGAACAACTTTCCCCATGGAACACATGGAGGTAAAAGAAAATACTGGCTAAGAGCGTGTCAGACACGCCCACGAAAAAGGTTTCGTAGTCAACGTTTAAATATCAGGTTTTTGCAGCGTTACAAAGTTAATTTTGTTGCTGGTTTGTTTGCAGCTGTATGATTACCAACCGCAAATTTGAAAATATTTTATTTATATGAAATCTTTAGTGGTATAGTATTCGTTATAGTTTTCATGGTAACTGCAGGTTGAGATCTATATTTTTTTTTGTTTATACTTTAGGAGTTACAGCTGCAACAAACTTACCTAATATACCTAAGTTAAGTATGTTTGATCCAGGAACGGCATATTAAAAATTCTAAAAAAGAAAGTTAGCCTATTCAATTCAATTCAATTCAATTAATTTATTTCTGAACAATATACATTGTATTGAAATATTTTAAACATAAGTATAAAAAAATGTCAATTATTATACAAAATTAATGCTGTTTTAAAATCACAATAAAAATAAAATAAAAATATAGACATGTCAAAACAGTAGAAAATAATAATAACAATTTCAAAACATTTTATAAATACAACCTATCTAACATTATAAAAGCAGTATGCCTAGAACTAATTATTCAAATAATATAATTATTTATTAGTATTTTTAAGGAAGTCCTCAACCGAATAAAAACAATTTTCCAGCAAGAAAGCCTTTAGTCTAGATTTAAATATTAATGGTTTATCTAGTGTCTCTTTAAGTGAAGTAGGCAGTCCATTAAATAATTTTATCGCTTGATATCGGGCACCGTGTTTAACTACTTGTAATTTCGGAGTAATCAGATTTGGGAGGTCTTTTCTTCTAGTCCGTTTCCTCTTATTATTTTCCTCAACTGTTTCTATCCTCGAATGATGTTTAGAAAGATCAGTAAGCAATACTAAAATGTAAAGACATGGGGCGGTCAGAATATTGAGCAGTTTAAAATAGTCTTTGCACGAAGTTGTCTGAGGAATCCTAACAATAGTCCGGATGGCTCTTTTTTGAAGGATGAAAGCCTTTTCAATATTGTACATATACCCGTTACCCCAATGTTTAATGCTATACCGTATTTTAGACTCAACCAGAGCAAAGTAAACCATCTTTAATTCCCTGGTTCCAACCTCATCCCTTAAACTTCGCAAGGCATAGCAAGCAGAACCTAAGGAACTCTCTAACGAACTGAGCTCTTGTTTCCAGTTTAGCGAGGAATCAATATAAATACCTAAGAATTTTGTACATATTACATTAGCAATGTAATCCCCTTCGCAACCTATCAATAATTCATCTTTGCAACGAGCTGTAGTCTTAAATAGTAGGGCACTTGTTTTCGAGGTGTTTAATTTGAGACCATTTATTGAAAACCATTGCTGAAAGATACTGAACACATTGTTTATTTTGTAATTTAGTTCCTCTATTCCTGAAGCTGATACAACCGCATTCGTGTCATCAGCAAACATGACTAAAGAAGTGTCAGGGGCGTAGGAAGTAAGGTAGTTGACTAAATCGTTTGTGAACAAAATAAAAAGTAAAGGTCCCAAAATGGAACCTTGAGGAACACCTCTACTAACTTTAGCTAGTTTAGAGGACACTGACTCCTCTTTAATTCCATCTACATAAGAAATTTCAACAAATTGGTACCTATTGGTGAGATATGATTTGAGTAAGTGCCAAGTATTATCCCTAATACCGTAATGTTTTAGCTTTTCTAACAAGATTTCGTGACTCACCATGTCAAAAGCTGCACTCAGGTCCAAAAAAAGACCTGCCACTCTCAATTTGTCATTCAGTTTTAAAAGTACGTCATCTAGCAAGGTATCGATTGCTTCAGCCGTGCCAATCCCAACTCTATAGCCAAACTGTCTATCATTAAGTATTTTATGCTTGTTTAAGTGCCTAAGTAATCTGAATTTAATTAGTTTTTCGAAAATTTTGGAAAGTGTGGGTAAAAGAGAAATTGGCCGATAATTGTTAGGGTCAGTGCCAGATCCTTTTTTTAGAATCGGGGTAATCTTTGCTATTTTTAGTTGATCTGGGAACAACATCTGGAGTGTAGGTCTAAATGACGGGTAGAAGGGGAATTTTATATTTTGTGGTAATAATGTTCACTGTGATGTATTTGAGGGGGCGCTTTGTATCGAGGGTCTTTACTTACAGTACCTACAGTACATAGTTTGTACATTGGGTATTGAATTATCTTTGGTGAAACTACCCTTATAGTAAATGTTGCCTATTATAAAGAGGAGAAATGAGTAGAAATGTAAGGGTAGCAGTTAGCTTTAGAAAAGGAATCTGGGTCATTCACACACTAGCTTTTCACCCCACCACCGTGTCACATGCGACTAGGAATAATTTCCGCCGGAAACTAGATATTCCAAGATCGCGGCAGGGAGATGCCACCCTTAATATGGGAACATATCTACCTCTCTATATAAGCCGCTGGTTTTGTACATTTATACGGGGTGTTACAAAACAACCAATAAAACTGAAAGGTGAACCCCTTTAGAGGTACTAATAAAACTGAACAACTTTCTTCATGGAACGTGGCTAGCAAAATGAAAAAGAAATTAGACCACCCATACAAAATGATTCTCAATTTGTATGGGAACTTTATGGTTGTTTTGTAACACGTTGTACATACATACATAATATCACGCCTATATCCCTTGCGGGGTAGGTTAGGCAGAGCGTAAATGGAACTAAAAAAACGACAATTTACACCACGTTTGACAATAGTTTGAGAGTCATTCAGAAGACGGTGTACAACTATAGTGACAGGTTGGTAAAATGCAATATACATCGACTCTCACTCAAATCCCTTAGTCGCTTCTTACGACACCTACGGGAAAGACGATGGGTTGATGCTATTCTAAGCCGGCACCACACGACATGCACATTTACAATGAGGTAGAAAACTAGAGAAGTAATGGCGCAACTCTCAAGTGAGCCTTTTTTCTGTGATTGGTCGAAAATATGTCAATGTCAAAGTGAAGTTACGTCTTATTGGTTGTTGCTACGTCATTAAGGCATACTTGCGCCTACTGTCATCTGCGCAATAAGCTTTGAGTTTTCCTCCCCATTGGACACTAACTAACTAAAGTTGGTAAATGATATAATATGAATAGATATTTAGATGGTTAATTGTAAAAAACAACACCTTGTACTCGTTCCACAATTTTCTTTTTTTATTACCCGACCGGTTTCGCTTAAATAAGCATCTTCAGGGGGTTACTTAGGTGGTAGGTACACACATCCAACTACATATTATTATATTAAGAGGACTAAAAACAGTTAAGGCCGCTATAGAGGTTTTCACGAAGCCCATACAATTTTCCCTGCCAGACCGCTCGGAGCGTAGTTTTGCGAAAAACATGGGCATGTTTGAATATTTTTTACAGTGATATTATGAAGAAAAATAAATATATTTTTCTGCAATTAGATTAAGTACATCTTCTTAAATAACATATATTTTTTTTTAATCTTTACTCCTGTTATTTATTCATACAGAAGCTGTTATAATGGCGCATTATTTTGCAAAAATTCGTATATAAAAACGTGGTATTATTCTATATTTCTGAATAAAATTGTAAAATGTTCACTGTAGACTTTGTTTTCAAATAAATACTCTATTTTTTTGTATAATTGATAGTTTTTTACAGTGAACCAAAACTCTAAAACTCACGCTTGATTTGAGGTCTTTTCCTGAATTTTGGTTTTGTCGCTTTAGATATCGCTGTTTGTAACATGTTTAAAACCAAAATGCTAATATTTACATTGTACATTTTTTAGATGAAGATATGCTTGATTAAATGTACAAGTAACATATTAATTTTACATATCGGTTTTCGAGAAACTCGCATGTTTATAAAGCCAATATTTGCAAATTTGCTAGAAAAAATTGAATGCGCTCTTAATAAATTGAATTTATTAACTGTTTTTAGTCCTCTTAATAAATTGAATTTATTAACTGTTTTTAGTCCTCTTAATATAATAATATGTAGTTGGATGTGTGTACCTACCACCTAAGTAACCCCCTGAAGATGCTTATTTAAGCGAAACCGGTCGGGTAATAAAAAAAGAAAATTGTGGAACGAGTACAAGGTGTTGTTTTTTACAATTAACCATCTAAACAATGGAGTTCCACCAAGCGCCGACAATCGCAAGTACAAATTATGAATAGATATGTTAAAAATCAAAAAAACCGACAGCGGTAATTTTGAAGTAGTATTTTGCATTAATATTCGCCTTCTTGAATCTATAATTTTTGAATATAGCCGGTGTCACTCGCGCTGCTGAGACCAATCTAACGACACCTCATATGTCAAAATCCAACTATCCGTTTGGGCTGAAAAAGTATTTTCTTGCATACATACATACTCTCGAAAAACATAACCCTCCTTCTGAGGCAGTCGGGTAAAAATATAGAAACTGTATGCTTAAAACTATGGTCTTAGAAGAACGCACTGTTCTTCAATATTAAAATTAAAAGAAGCCCTACAAATAAAATGTCATTTCAACAATTGTCGAAACTCGATAAGTGTCTACAACATAAGTATTGCAGATTTGCAATATCGAATATTGATTGATAAAATTATTATTTTATAGGTATAGACAATTTCTTACATTATTGCAAATTATAAAAACCACCTACCTAGGTATTGTCAATTTTGCATATTTTCTGTCACGTTTTATCTCTAAGATTTAGCATACCGCAAAAGTAGCTGTAAGAAAGAATTCGATTACTTATTTTAAGGTCCCGTGGTTATTATCACTAAAACTGTAAGACATTTAACGAGTTTTTTACTCACGGGTCACTCGATTTTTTTAAATAAATCACGGCTTAACGTGCCCTCCGAAGTACGGAACAATCTCTCTTTTTGAAAAATCAGGTGGATTGTCCAAAAAGAGAGACCTGCAATGTCCCAACCAGACTGGGAACTAATTTACAAAATGATAAATATCAAGTTTGTAAGTAACCCACCGGGAATCGAACCCGAAACCTTCTGCTTCGCAGGCATTCGCACTACGATTGCGCCGCATCGGTTGTCAAACATATGGTTCTACAAATACTATAAACAACTTAAACCATAAATTTTAACTCAAACTTTATTAGGTTTAAACACTAACTTTAAGCACACTTTGAAAGTTAGATAACCGCTAGCATTAGTGTCGATTCCGGGTATGCTTTCCTTATTTTATTCCGTGGGTACATAAATACATATAAACATCACGTCTCTTTCCCGGAGGGGTAGGCAGAGACTATCAATCAATCAATCAATCAATCATTTTATTTGTGATACACAGGTATACATAAGGTCTTAAATATAAAAAAGCTCGCCGTGACCCGCCATTTGGCATACAAATTTTATACATTATCAATTATACAAAAAAAGATTACAAATTATAATATAAAAACACCAACGTAACTACGAAAAAAATTGTCTTAATAGTCATTTCATTATAAAAATACAGTTATGATGTCATGCAATACTATTATAATTTCAGACTGAGTCAAGCAGCGTTTTGAAAAAAGTCATCAATTTTATATAAAGCAGCCTCAATTAAGAAATTATGAAGGGCTGTTTTGAATTTTGGTAGTTCACTAATGTCTCTGATATGTTTAGGTAATTTATTGTAAATTTTTGGTGCTAAAACGAAAATACTTTTACGGAGGAGGGCAGTTTTACATGAATGTGGCATATTTGATCCCTGCGTCGTGCACTCTTTTCATTTGGGAAAAGACGAGGATTTTTACGAACAAATAATGCGGCCTCAAAAATGTACATTGACGGTACTGTAAGCAGTTTAAGCTTCCTAAAATATGGTTTGCAGCTATCTGTGCATTTAAGACCACATATGCTTCGAATGCATCTTTTTTGTGCCTTGAGAACATTTTCCCTACCCGTTGCATTTCCCCAGAATAAAATCCCATACCTCAATGTAGCAGCCACAGTTCCGTGATATGCCATCAAGACAGCTTCCCGGTTCACCACCTTGCTGAGCATATACAAGCTATAAGAAAATTTACTTAGCTTGTTGCAGACATTTTCAATTTGGATATTCCACCTCATATTACGGTCAATATTTAAGCCTAAAAATTTAGTACTATCGGTCTCACCAACTCGCGTTCCATCATGTTCAATGACTGCATCAATAGAAGATTTATTTCTTTGATTAAATCCCATTATTTTAGTTTTATTTAAATTAATTTTTAAATTATTATATTGAAGCCAGTTAATGATTTGAGTGAGGCCCTGTTTTATTACATTTTCATTATTGAAAATAACTGTACAGTCATCGGCAAAGAGTATCATGTGTTCTTTTGTGGATCTTATTATATCATTTATGTAAATGAGGAATAAGAGTGGCCCCAAAACGCTTCCCTGAGGTACACCGAAATTGATTTCTCTTTTGGTAGAACTGTAGGTAACTTCAGTTTGACTTCTAGTACAGATTTTCCTAATTTGCACTATTTGTGTTCGCCCTGATAGGTATGATTTTAGTAGGTCATAGACATTACCTCTAATTCCGTACGTGTACAATTTCTTCAGCAGCAGCTTATGATCAACATGATCAAACGCCTTTGACATGTCCATAAAAAGTGCAAAAACTGGGAGCCGGTTATCCATTCTTACATATATTTTATATAAAAAGTCATACATAGCTAGGTCGATACCTCTACCTTTTCTGAATCCGTTTTGCTCGTCTATGAGTACATGGTTATGATCCAAATATGAGTATAGTGAATTATAGATGACTTTTTCAAAAATTTTGGAAAATATAGGTATCAGTGCTATGGGTCTATAAGATGTCATTTCCTCTTTGTTATCTTTTTTATATATAGGCCTGACAATGGTTATCTTAAGTTTATCTGGAAAAATACCCTGTATGACACACATATTTATAACATGGCTAAGAACTGGGGCAATTAAACGCGATACATATTTAATAACTTTAGTACATACGTTATCATATCCTGCACTTTTCGTGTTTTTGAGGTCATGTATAATATTTAAGATGTCCTTGGGTACAGTAGGTTGCATGAAAATCGAACTGTGTTTGTCAAATGTGCACAAGTACATACTGTCAGAATTATTCCTATTTTTACACGGCTGAACTTGGTCAACAAAAAAGTCATTAAGCGCCTGTGAAATTTGCTGAGGGTCACGCAGTAACTGTCCCGTAGCTGCTTTCATCTGGAGGATTTCTTCTTTCGGATAGTTACTTTTTGTTTTATTAATGATTTGCCAAGTGGCTTTAGATTTGTTGCTCGCTATTGCAATTTGGTAGTCATTTTGAGACTTTTGAGTCAGTTTAATTATTTTGCGCAGTCTATGAGAATATTTCTTAAATATTGTTTTGTCTGTATTTTTACGCGTACGTCTATATCTCCATAACAATTCTCTTTTACGCTGAGCGCATTTCTTTATACCCTTGGATATCCATTTTGGTCTTTTTTCAATAAATTGTTTCACTCTTACATTGGGAAAACACAATTCATAGAAAATAATAAAGAGATCATAGAACTTATTAAAAGCTCTGTTACCATCTTTCTCTTCGTATACCTCACTAAAACTTAGGCTCGCCAGACACTCGCCAAACTTGTTCATGTTGTCACGGCTTAAGTCACGTATAAATGAATACCAATATTTGAAAATACATGTTTTCTTTATCGGGCAGCGAAGTAGTTGAGCGGTATGATCAGAAACAGCAAACTCAAATACTTCGCCTTTGCAGCCCCTAATCCTATTATGAGCAATGTTATCTATGCAAGTGCCGCTAGCAAGTCTAGTTGGTTCATTGATAGCACATTTCAAATTAAAACTTTTAAGTAGCTGTTGAAATTGTATTGTACGTTTATTTTTTGTATCTAGTAAATTGATATTAAAATCTCCGCATACTATTATTTTTCTGCTAGTGTCATGAGATATTTTAGTTAATATTTCAAACATACGATCCATAAATAAGTCAAAATATTTTGATTTCTTTTTTTGTTTTGGTACCCTGTATACGCATACTACAGTTATTTTATGATCTACAAGGATACATGCACAGCATTCTAAGACATTGGGTATAGATAGTTTAGAAACAAAATCTAGAGACTTAAATTTGTAGTTATTCTTTACAAGTATACAAGATCCACCCGCTCGTTTTCGTCTGGTAAAGTGTGTGGCCAATGTATAATTAGGTATGCACAAAATGGAAGTATCTTCAGCTGTCATGTTGTGTTCAGTAAAGCAAAGCACATCTGCCCCCTTACCCATATCTTTTAAACTATCGAGACATTCAGTGAATACATCCGCCTTGTTAATCAATCCATCAATGTTCTGGTGAAGGACCATTAGATGGTTGTACACAAAAAATATCGCTGTTTGTTCCAGTCTGATTAATTTGGTCAGAAGATTGGTTATGTCCACACTGCAAGTTGCATACTCGCTCAGAAGTTTCTGAATTGCTGTCGGTTTGAGTACTTGTTGAAACAAAGCTAGTTGTATCCTTACTTGCAGTACACACAAGGCTTATTTCAGATGTTTGGGTACTTTTACTGGATTTGTTATTCACTTTGCTATTAGAAATATTTATTTGAGATTTACAATATTTTGTGTAATTCTGCTTATAGCCAATGCGCAACATTTCTCTTAATATTTGACGACAAATGTAGGTTGCAGACTCACTGCGTCGGGGAACAAATCTACTGTAATTCAAATCTAAAAACAGAGCTTTTGGGTAATGACAACACAAGGACTTGATTTCGTAATTTAACTTAGTTTCATTCAAATGGTTGTTAAAAGGAATCTCACAAATTATTACATTGGCAGTTATTTTGCTTAACCATATTAGTAAATTCGAACGAAACTCAAATGGGTTAGTGTCATTTTTGCCAGCCAAAACAACTACAAAATCCTGCTCAGTTAGTTTATCAATATCATCTTTGCAAGAATTCAACACATTTGCAATTTTTGCGCCAGGCTTCCAAAAACACGATACTATATAACCATCGCCGACGAGCTCTTGTAGTTCTTTACGAGTTCCTTTGCCCTGTTGATCTGCTAATAATATTATATATAATTTATTATCCGTCTGAGTGGCTTGTACAGAACGTTTATTAGCTGGAAAAATTTCTGTCTTCGTCAAACTTAATCTTAGTGACCGTTTTATTCCTTCAAATGCACTCATTTTATGAGCAGAGTTTCTTTCATAAATTTTTTTCGCTGTCGATTTTTCAGGTGTTGATGATGTTAGATGACACGTGGTTGTGAGTTGTTTTAATAATTCAATAGAGCGTTTCGCCTTATCCAATTCAGCTTTAACCTGTGTATTCTCAAGCAAGAGGTTGCTGATTACTTCATCTGCACTGTTTATCTCCATACGTAGCTGTTCATTCACGATTTTTAGTTTTAGTACCTCGTCGTCAACTGTCATTTCCGGTAGACTGTTACATGATGCAGAAGTGGTCCCAGCATCAGCTACTTTATATATCGAACTTAGGTCATTTAGGGAAACGTTTTTCTTTCGGTTCGCGCAGTTTATCCAGGCACTGTTTTCATCATGAGTGCAATTCTCCTCGTCCATGATCTTGCTGGAATGTTTAAATTCTTGTTCATCTTCCTTAGACTCAGCTGAGCTCTCTAAGTTTTCATCTTCAGGTAAAGGATGAAAAGAGTTTTCTGTAGGCACGTTAGTAACTATACTGTATACATCAGGAGTTTGATCATTAGATATTACTTTGTTCTCTTCGTCGTGTTTTGATTGTTGGTGTAATTTTTCTACGATAGAGTTTGATTGTGGTAGGTGTTTCGCATTTTCTATAGTTTTCATGTGGTCAGCATTTGAGCCCGTATCTACATCTACATCCCGTATCTACACCTACAGCATTTGAGCCCGTATCTACATCTTCCACTTGCTACGATCCCGATCCTGACACAATTTTTTCGACATTCCGTAATTGTTTAAAATTGGAAAAAGATGAGAAATTAGATATTTAAGGCCTTACCACAAAAAAGTTAGACGCGAGTCGAACGCGTGTTTAACCCTCGGCATGCCT